TTCGGGGAAGTCTGAGGATGAGCTTCTTCTCGTGGACCGATTCCCTTAGAAAGACGCACGGCAGGACGCAGTGGTCTTAGCCATGCATCCTGCTTGTCAAACTGTAGTAGGATCTGGGAGCCAATACAATGTCCTTCCGGGGCTAGTCGTTGTACAGGTCAGTGTTTTACCCTGTAATTTAAGAATAGTGCCAAAAAATTGACTCCGCGTAGGACGGGAAGCATGTTCCCTTGGCTAGGTCGATCCGAGATTTGAACCCCGGACGGTACGTGATGAGAGACAGCTGCCTCTTTACTTCTGCCGCCATGGAACTATTGTATTAAGCTAAAGGTCACCAGAATTCTGCTGGAATTCCGGTGCGCGGTCCATCTCGGGAAGTGATTATTCGTGGTCGATCCGGTGCTGTTCTCCTGATGGTGAGGAGGGAGGGAAGAGGTGGGCAGTTCAAAACTCCGCTGGTTCCTTTTGCTAGGTCATGCTAATTAACAGGTATCACTTTTGTGTAACACGTAAATTTTTGTAAAGCGCCCCAACGAACCGAAAAGAGTCGTCGATCTTTCATCCGACTCAATCATTCTTCTGCGTGGAGCCCTGGTCACGAGACAGCTGATACCAGAGATCCAACCGTAATGCTCACATGGTAGAAGGATGGTGAACTTTTTGCTGAGGAAAAAAAGATGATGTATTCGATATCTCGACCGCTGTGATGACCGATAGAAAGAAGTGCTGATTGATGGTGGCGGCAATCTTTGCAGAATGTGATTGATCTTGAGAAACTAGTTATAAAAGTATAATATATGAACGGTCGACGTTTTGCAGCACATCACTAACCCCATCGGCTCATTTGCATAAGTGATCAACGATATTGTGATGTTGTCTGCCTTGGGAGGGGCACGTCTGCAATCAGGGTGCAGCATCAGCAGCATGTGTGAAACACATAGGGGATCGTACTTTTCCGGTGGGAAGGTGGGGCGGGGGTCGTATTCGGTGAATGTTGGGAGAAGGGGGTCGTGTGTGGCTCTGAGAGAAATTTGCCTCGTTGGGTAAAAAATTTTCCCGATTGTTGATTTTTCGCGTTTTTTTACGTTTCACATGTTCTATTTATCTCTCCCCCCCCCCTCGACGGGAAATTCTTGCAGGGCACATCGTTTGTTGGATAATCCAGGACAGTCTTATTTGGGCGAGACGGATGCGTTTTCGATAGTTGATTTCCGACGAGCTCGAGAGTGCATCGATTTGATGCAGAGGCCGGAGGGGGTCCGTACCGTCCAAAAAAAAGAGGGGGGGGTTCCCGGACCTCGACTAACATCCTCAACCAATGATGTGCCCTGAATTCTTGGGTGTACCGAGACCCTCTTTTAGGTGAGGAGCGAGGTCGTACCAAGACTCTTGCTCGAGAGGGGGGGGTCTTACCGACACCACCATTTCACACTATGATAATTGTCGTAGTCTGCAGGTGTTCGCCAACACCTTTGCAGCCCCAGGGCGTGAATTGGATTGCGTAAAGAGAGAGCTAACCTTGGAGGTGACGGTGCTATATGCAGTCTCGAATTTCCACAATGATTACGGTATTCAGCCACGAACAGAAATCCACCGCCGCGCCTGAGAATCTCCCAAAAAAGCACAAAACGTAATTTTTATGTAGCCAGACAGGCCGTCTTTCGAGGTTACACGCTCAGGAGAAAAAAAATAATCTCTTAGGGCAATAAGAGAGGCAGTAATTCTGACATACTATTCCAAGATATCTGCTGAGACCCTACACACCTAACAGGAGGAGCCGCTGTTGTGGTGAATCCTGATGGACAAGACGCGCTCGATAAACATACCGTTGTATCTCGTTCTTGTAGGTGGGGCAGTGTCTCTTATCTTCCTCACATTTCACTTCCTTTCTGAGAAAAAGAAGGTTGAATAAGCTTTCTTATATCACATCATTGCCGATCTTTTCAAGTACTCGGGTGTTCTGCGATGCTTTGTGTTGTTCGGTCTTCGCAACTATGTTCGAACAGTGGTCTCTATTTGACACGATATACTTCTATACTTCTTCTTTATCTCATTGACAACTATCGGTGAGGGCCTGTTGCTATTGAGAATCAAGGAGGGACTTGTTAGAAATCAAAGAGAGACAAACTGTTCCGACGCCCGAAGTGTGCCAGTATGCCACAAACGGTTGCCATCAGAAGTGTGTGGACTCAAAGGCGAGAGGCTAAAAGTTGCACGTGGATGTTCCGGGAGGCTGACCCCGTATGGAGGCCACCAGTTCCGTTCTTAGTGTACCGGAGAGAATCAGATCAGTGCCAGATGAAGGGACAGAGGCGAGTCCGCACGAGCCTGTTCCACAGCCTGAATCAAAACCCCCCTGGGAGGGATCATATTTGAATCGATCTAAAAAAAGAGGCTCGGCTTGTTCAGAGGACCAGATGCATCAATTTTGAGGATGCATGGGTTTGAGATGGACTAAAGACCTCCTCTTCTTAGGCTATTATATTCCCCTTCCACGCCTCTTCATTGACGAGTTCCGGAAAAATGTTGGTAAAGAATGGTGAAGAAGTGGGCGAATTCGATGTGGAGGTTGAGAGGGTCGTGCTGGTGGCCTTTTCTGAGGCTCCGAACCTTTGATCACAGCATTTTTCGTTTCGCGCCATGGTCTTACCAAGGCGCTCCTGTCAGCTCCGTCCTACCAAGGGGCTTGCACACTTTGGGTTCTCTTGTCACCGGATTCAGTCCCAGACTCTGGCGTAACCCTACCCTAACGGGTATTCCAATCTCGCTTCGAGCGCGTACATCGCTATTAGGTAGAACCAGGCATGCTTTAAATCCTGCTTGAAGCGCCCGTGCTAGGCATGCACGGGTGCTGGAAGCAGTCGTTTAAAAGAGAGTTTTTGCTCGACAGGACATGTCCTGGCCTAACGTAGTCCAAGCGGAAAATGATGGTGAACAGGGCTACGGCCTCGAGGACTCAGATGGACCAGAAGCAGAGATATCTGTGTCAAGGTAGGAGGGTCGGTGCGGGAATACCCGGCCAAACTTGGAGATACTCCTTTTGCCTCCAGTATGGTTTGCTACAAATGGTCTTTTCACAATTCCGCACTGATGTAGAGGACATGGCGCTCACTATTTTTCAATCTCTAATCCCAGGATTCGGCGACGTCACATCGAGTCATAGAGTGGCAGTAGCGAATTTTCTGCTGATCCTTATCGGCTTATCCGTGGTGACCATGGCAATCAATGTCGTGCAAATGCAACTGGAGATCCTGTTTGGGAAATTCGTCAAATCAATCGATAACGACTTCAAAATAAATCTCCTGAGTAGTGGTAAGTGTCTGTACTTGTAGGATGCGCGGTTCAAGGAGATCCACGTTGCGGTGTCGCGTGCGCTACTATCGTACCGTACCGGAATCTACCTAATAGTTCTGTAGTACGTCTTCTCAACTAGTAAGGAAATTCCAGCTGTTTGTCGTGCGCCGCCGCATCGCGGGTGTCCTGGCCCTTATGGAGGTTATTACGTAAATAATAGTACTGCTTTGCAGAAGATGAGGCTCAGCCTGTAAAGGTCGACATCGAAACTTGCCGGCCATCTTTGGATCCTATAAAAAGTGAGATTCTTTGAAACCTTTCTCCCAATCGATCAATCCCATCGCGTTATCAATTGCCCCTAGTTGTTATCAAATTTTCAGAACAGTTAGACAGTGTTTTTCCAGAAGAAGACGTTGTGAAACAGTACGGTGAGAACATGAGAGGAAGCGATCGGCTCCTTATGCAGTTCTTGAGTCATCACCAGTACGTACTCTTGTTCTTATTAAAATATTTGTCAACTATTATTTGCAATTAATATTAGGTTGGCCAAAAAGTATTGCAGGTCTCTGGCCCCTGTTTAGGAGAAAATAAGTCGGCATTGAGCGAATCTTATGAGTCGAAATAAAACCCCTTCATGTAGAGACCTGCTCAAAAGCAACAAACATGTAGAGCTAGTCCTGCAACATAACACTCAGCGCAATTAGGCTCGGGAGGGGCATTCTGCACTTTTGCTTGTTCATGTTGGGTACAAGGTAGTACTTTAGTAAGGCTATGTGACAAGAGAATCGTAATTCGCCGCGCTGTGGGCGTCGCGTGCGACGTCGCGCCCGCAAATGACGATGGTTCAGGTAGTAGATGGCGACAACAGGCAATTCAGAACCGAAAATGGTCATGAATGTCTACAATGACGGGGTCTACATGAAGTTCCGGTGCTCCAGACAGGTTAATACGAGTTAAGAAAACGCCGCGCCCATCGCCGCGCGCGGATGGAGCGACAAATATTCTCTTGCCCGTCTCCCCTTTCGTGAGACCTGTACTGGCGATATCCAGTTCTCCATTTCTTTTCCAAATCATGACCAGTCGTTTTGACAAGTTCGACAGGATTTTACAGGGTGCTTGACAGGTGATAACAAGGCTTACGGGGTTTGACAAGACTGCCCGGTAATCACATGTCTACAGTTTACAGGATTAGGTATGCTGACGAGCGCTAACAGGTGTACCCCACCCAAAGGTTACGGTGTATTAATAAGCCCCCTCCCCACACAATTAAAGGGTACAGGCTCCTGTGAAGCTGCGAAACGAAAAATGCAAATAAAGTGCACTTCAGAAACATGAACTTACAAGGCTTCACAGGGTGTACTGTACGTTTTACCATTTAGTGCCCCCACCAAATCGAATAATCTGGAGCTGATAAGTTTAGCGAAGTTGGCTCCCATTTGGGCGTTTCTGTACGGAAAGATGTATCAAATAATAAATTAAGGAAAACAGGGGGATACTGTATCATGAACTGCGCGCGAAATCGAGTGCATGTAAGCAGCGAGTGCACACATTACACCTCGTTTTTCGTCTAGGCTATTCGGAGTGGTTTCAGCATTGCTCTCCCCTCTTCGCTACACCCTGGGGCCTTGGTTTCACGCGCGATTTTCGAGGTACTGTA